TATTTGAATTATTTTTATTAAGTAAAAAATAATTTCAGAACACAAAGTGAAACAAAAGCCTATTTTTGTGAGGGGAAAAAGTGAAAAATGTGAGGGGAAGGGCGACAAATGTTGTTGTTGTTCAAAGGTTTATTGCGGACATTTTCCACATGTGTATTGTTTATTTACAATCGTGATGGAAAATGTCCGCAATAAACCTTTGAACAACATTAACTCACCATCACCAACAATGAACTTCAAACAAAAAATTTTGTTGCCTAGAGCCGGCAGATACGTAAATATGTCCCTGCCTGGAGCCTGTTTCATAACAATATACTTGCAACTCGTACTAAGGATTTGTTTTACTATATCTGATGACTTAATACTGACCTGTAATATTTAAATCTATTAATTAAAAAAGGGATTAAAAAGCTTAAATGTTGTATTGTTCTTATTTTTAACTCTACTTCCCGATAACCCGGCATTTCACAAACTCGGCACCCTTCCATTCCACATTGCACCGAGTTTGCGGGACTCTACTGTAATAATAAGCATTGTTTATGCATTGTTATGAAACAGGCCCCTGGAAATAATTCCCTAAAAGGTGAAACTTTGCATATGTGTAGAGAGTCAAAAATCCGAACCAATTGGGACCTTAGGTAGTTCAGATTACCGATTTGTTTGGATTTCCAAACGTAGCCTATAAATGCCTAATAGCAGGGGTGCCCATCCCCCCCTAGACTCATGACGCACCCCCCCCCCACAATTGAGCAACAGCCCCCCCCCCCCCATAAATATGTACACAACAAATGAGAAACATTATTCCCCCGCCCAGCACTATTTGTAAAACTATAAAAGAAGTTTTATATTTTTGTTTTTATATTTAAAATTCAAACCCAGTTAATCTATATCAATAAAGTTATAGTTTTGTCTGTACATTGCTCAGAATTATACATATTTTGGGTTATTTATGTTTTATACATTGAAGAAGTTGAACATGTTAACTGAAACTGAAGTTAAAATGTTGATTTTGAAGTTAGTTAAATAGTTATTTTTTGTGAATTTGACTTGGCTTATGCATTTGTAATGTTAATCTAGCTAAATAAATGAGTTATTGAGTTATTGAAACATGTCTTATCTCCATTTATGTCCGTCTGTCACGGCCCAGAAGGCATTTTATTTAGCCTACTCATGGCCTACTCTGAAGAAAACTAGAGAAACCGATTATGATTCTAATGGTTTAAGTGTATCCACAGGATTGGGGAGAGAGTCCTTATAGCCATTAAAATATGGCCTCACTATTTTGGAAATAAAATAACGGACGATCAAAAATACAATTTTGTGTGATTTTTCTAGTTTATTTTCTCCATGTTTACTACATACGTCATTAATTTATGAAATACTAATAATCTGTTAAGAGAACACGTCATATGAAATTATGTGTATACGTGTAAATAACATACTCCATAAAAATAATCAAAATTTATCGAGCCAAATTTGAAATATAATTTTTTTTAGAATCTGTAAAAATCGGTAGCTCAATAAGCAGCAGGCCTAACTTCTACCACATATAGCAACCATCATAAGCATCGAATGGGCTTGCCATTTTTTTATAACATGTGTAAACGTGTGAAGAACATACTCCATAAAAATAATGAAAATTTATCGAGCTAAATTTGAAATATAATTTTTTTAGAATCTGTAAAAAATCGGTAGCTCAATAAGGAGCAGGCCTAACTTCTACCACACATAGCAACCATCATAAGCATTGAATGGGCTTGCCATTTTATTATAACATGTGTAGACGTCTAAATAACATACTCCATAAAAATAATGAAAATTTATCGAGCGAAATTTGAAATATAATTTTTTTATCTGAAAAAACCGTAGCCCAGTAAGGAGCAGGCCTATCTTCTACCACCTATAGAAACCATCATAAGCATTGAACGGGCTTGCCATTTAATTATAACATGTGTATACTTGTAAATAACATACTCCATAAAAATAATGAAAATTTATCGAGCGAAATTTGAAATATAATTTTTTTCTTCTGAAAAATCGGTAGCTCAGTAAGGAGCAGGACTATATTCTACCAACTATAGAAACCATCATAAGCATTGAATGGGCTTGCCATTTAATTATAACATGTGTAGAAGTCTAAATAACATACTCCATAAAAATAATCAAAATTTATCGAGCGAAATTTGAAATATAATTTTTTTCTTCTGAAAAATCGGTAGCTCAGTAAGGAGCAGGACTATATTCTACCAACTATAAAAACCATCATAAGCATTGAATGGGCTTGCCATTTACGTATGACATGTGTATACGTCTAAATAACATACTCCATAAAAATAATGAAAATTTATCGAGCGAAATTTGAAATATAATTTTTTTATCTGAAAAAAACCGTAGCCCAGTAAGGAGCAGGCCTATCTTCTACCACCTATAGAAACCATCATAAGCATTGAATGGGCTTGCCATTTAATTATGTCACGTGTATACTTGTAAATAACATACTCCATAAAAATAATCAAAATTTATCGAGCGAAATTTGAAATATAATTTTTTTCTTCTGAAAAATCGGTAGCTCAGTAAGGAGCAGGACTATCTTCTACCACCTATAGAAACTATCATAAGCATTGAATGGGCTTGCCATTTACGTATGACATGTGTATACGTCTAAATAACATACTCCATAAAAATAATGAAAATTTATCGAGCGAAATTTGAAATATAATTTTTTTATCTGAAAAAAACCGTAGCCCAGTAAGGAGCAGGCCTATCTTCTACCACCTATAGAAACCATCATAAGCATTGAATGGGCTTGCCATTTAATTATGTCACGTGTATACTTGTAAATAACATACTCCATAAAAATAATCAAAATTTATCGAGCGAAATTTGAAAAATAATTTTTTTCTTCTGAAAAATCGGTAGCTCAGTAAGGAGCAGGACTATCTTCTACCACCTATAGAAACCATCATAAGCATTGAATGGGCTTGCCATTTACGTATGACATGTGTATACGTCTAAATAACATACTCCATAAAAATAATCAAAATTTATCGAGCGAAATTTGTAATATAATTTTTTTCTTCTGAAAAATCGGTAGCTCAGTAAGGAGCAGGACTATCTTCTACCAACTATAGAAACCATCATAAGCATTGAATGGGCTTGCCATTTAATTATGACACGTGTATACGTGTAAATAACATACTACATAAAAATAATCAAAATTTATCGAGCCAAATTTGAAATATATATTTTTTTTATCTGAAACATCAGTGGTCTAATAAATGGCAGGTTCAACTTCTACCTCATACAGAAACCATCATAAGCATTGAATGGGCTTGCCATTTAATTATGACACGTGTATACGTGTAAATAACATACTCCATAAAAATAATCAAAATTTATCGAGCCAAATTTGAAATATATTTTTTTTTAAATCTGTAACATCAGTAGTCTAATAAATGTCAGGTTCAACTTCTACCTCATACAGAAACCATCATAAGCATTGAATGGGCTTGCCATTTAATTATGACACGTGTATACGTGTAAATAACATACTCCTTAAAAATAATCAAAATTTATCGAGCCAAATTTGAAATATATTTCTTTTTATCTGAAAAATAGGTAGCTCAGTAAGGAGCAGGCCTAACTTCTACCACATATAGCAACCATCATAAGCATCGAATGGGCTTGCCATTTTTTTATAACATGTGTAAACGTGTGAAGAACATACTCCATAAAAATAATGAAAATTTATCGAGCTAAATTTGAAATATAATTTTTTTAGAATCTGTAAAAATCTGTAGCTCAATAAGGAGCAGGCCTAACTTCTACCACACATAGCAACCATCATAAGCATTGAATGGGCTTGCCATTTTATTATAACATGTGTAGACGTCTAAATAACATACTCCATAAAAATAATCAAAATTTATCGAGCTAAATTTGAAATATAATTTTTTAAGAATCTGTAAAAATCGGTAGCTCAATAAGCAGCAGGCCTAACTTCTACCACATATAGCAACCATCATAAGCATTGAATGGGCTTGTCATTTAATTATGACACGTGTATACGTGTAAATAACATACTCCATAAAAATAATCAAAATATATCGAGCCAAATTTTAAATATATTTTTTTTATCTGAAAAAGTCGGTAGCACAGTAAGGTGCAGGCCTAACTTCTACCACATATAGAAACCATCATAAGCATTGAATGGGCTTGCCATTTACGTATGACACGTGTATACGTGTAAATAACATACTCCTTAAAAATAATCAAAATTTATCGAGCCAAATTTGAAATATATTTTTTTTTATCTGAAAAATAGGTAGCTCAGTAAGGAGCAGGCCTATCTTCTACCACCTATAGAAACCATCATAAGCATCGAATGGGCTTGCCATTTTATTATAACATGTGTAGACGTGTAAATAACATTCTCCATTAAAATAATGAAAATTTATCGAGCGAATTTTAAAATATAATTGTTTTTTTTTAATCTGTTAAATCGGTAGTTGGGTAAGGAGCAGGTCTAACTGTTACCACATATAGAAACCATCATAAGCATCGTATGGGCATGCTACTTTATTATCACATGTATTGACTTATAATGTAACATAATCCATAAAAGTAATCTACATAAATCTAGTCAGATGTATGTTTGTAGTGTGAAATGCACTTTGAGGTTAGTGGAAGTAGGCCTACATATCAATGGAATAAAAACAAGTGTTATTAGTGGTCATTGCACTTTATTTCGGCACCGCATTAACATAAAAATGGTATACTAGTAAAACAAACACTTAATAACTGCTCAAAAGGTGTAATTTAAACATAAAATGTATTTGAGGTTAGGAAGTTTTGACATGTGACACATGTGTTTGAGGTTAGAAAGTTTTGATACATGCATTTGAGGTTAGGAAGTTTTGATGCCACGGCCTTCTTGATCTACTGATCTGACGTGACGTCATAGCTTAATGTTGGTTTATTGGCAGTTTCACAGACATTGGAATTATTAGGAAAAAAACTAGAGTTAATGATGGTAAACAACAGGTAGGCCTAAACAAAATATAGTATTTTCTTATAAGTCTATGTAAAAATGTAAGTAGCCTAAATGTTGCTAATTGCTCTTTCTACTTCACAAATCTACATCTTAATAAGTCTTAATGTTTTTTAGTTTTCCTCCATTTCTTAAATGTATTGATTTATTTGTTTAAAATGTAAAAATTGTAAAGAGCAATAAATAAATAGGTAAATAAGTAGGCCTACGGTAGGATAAAATTACAACATGGATTAGGCCTAACTTTAAATGTTGAATTATTCTTGACTTAGGGACTTCTATGCCTAACCTGTTTACTGGGCTCCTTTACTCACGGTAGGGCACACGGAAGATTTCTCAGGTTCCGTTTGACGTCACCAACTGCTGCGTCTGAAGAAAAAGACAATTTTATAATTTTTCTATTAGCCTATTAAATTAAACTGTCATAACCTAACCAAACGTGCTGATAATGAAAAAATTGAATGAAGGTTTACTATTCTAAAAAATAGTTTTGTTCATAAAATAAAATTATAAATGTCTAAAATTCAATTTTAGCCTATAATTTTTTTATTGTAAAATTAAACTGTCATAACCTAACCAAACCAACCAAACTTGCTGATATGAAAAAAATTGTTGACAAAAAGTTAGTGCTACCAGCGGGATTCGAACAAGTGGGTCATTCGGATTATCAGCCCGACACGCTATCCATTCCACTACACCACCGAGGCTGATGGCTCAAACCCGTATCGTTGCAGTTATGGTGGTCCCTCAAAGTGACGTCAGGAGTTAGTGACGTCAAACGGCACCTGAGAAATCTGCCCGTGTGCCGTTTTGCCTTTACTCATGCCTATTAATTCTCTGCTTAGGCTAGGCCTATTTTACTTGACCCTATTCTAAACTGTGTCCATGCAAATGAGACAAAACGTGCTTGTTAACTTACCTCTCCCCTTTGCGTATCCTTATCAACCACTTAACTTAGGTTAGTCAACGTCTTAACTTAGGCGTAAGACTAACTTCTTTGTCAAAACCTTTGGATAGAGAAAAGAAGAAAAGTTGGTAATGATTTCCTTTTTTAAGTGTGTGTGAGATATTGAGCATTATAAGCTAGGCTGAGTCACGGCGGCCTTTAACTTTAAGCCGCAGCCTTCGAAGTGGCACAAGTAGGGTTGTAACAGCTACAGTTCTGTTTGTACTTGTGTAACTTACCTATTTACGAAAGCTTGGTTACTGCACTATGAAAATGTTGATTCCACTTTAAATGTATACAGATAACGCTTTCAATTCATTGTTTTTGTTTTCAATTCTGTATGTTTTATTTTCAATATTTTAATAAATTTATGTTAATAAATTTTAATTTTAATCAATCAAGTACAAATTAATGAGCTGATGTCACCTGTCTGCCATGTTATCTTATGGGACGTCTGACACTAAATAACTTCCAGAAAAAGACGCACAACGATATATCTTGACATAGCACTTTAAGGGTTAATACAACAGTAAAATTGATAAATGAATTCCAATTTACGTTCTGTTGAACAGTTCAAAGTAAGTTAAAGGCAAGCTGTTTTTTATCCACAATTCTTTTAGGCCTAGCAACTCTTTTTGATAGGCTAACTTACATAAGTTTTAATTCACCTTTTGTGTTGATCTCACCTGCTCAGTTCTGACCTTGAGCCATCATTGTTACCCACCAACTGTGGTCCGGTCAAAAAGGGCCCATTTGGCTGAATAATTCGAACTCATGGGTTTTATTGTCAGCAGTCACCTTTTTGTGGTAGCGATGCATCAACGGGATTCCCTGCATGCTGTTTCGGCGCAGCGGGACGACCAGACGACGGGACAAAAAGTGAAATACATGCAGTTAAATGAGAGCAGTCACACTATCCTGTTGTGCCACGTGTTAATTATGTTCAACACCGACAAGTTTATTGAATGTGTCCACAATCAACCTGCACATTGGGATAAACACCTTTAAGAGTACGGTAGATACTCTGATAGAAATGATTGAGAGAAATGTTTGTCTTTAGTTGGAGAAGCGATGTTTAGTCACTGGTTAGATGGATATATCAAAAGATGTGATGGATATTCTATAATAATTTAAATAGCCTACTTGCAAGGAGCACTTGCAAAGTATTGTCTTATAGGCTATTTTGATAAAAACTCTTCATCTCTATCATTTTCCCAATGCAAATGGTATAGCCTACCCAATAACGCCTACGAAAAGGTTTTTGTATCAAATGACTTACTTCAATTTCACTTTGGTCAATATTGTAATGTCGCTGTTAAAACGCGATACTGATTCTTCTAAAAGGGGTATACTTTTTAAATAATCTCAAGAAAACATAGTACAAAAAGAACTTCAATTTTAATCAGACATAACTATTCAAGACCAACTCTAACAATCAATCAAAAGGAAAACACTAATAATTGCAAAATGTAAACAAATAAAACATCTGATGAAATTAATTAACATATAAATAATCATCTAGAGACAGTCATTTTCAAAATACTCCCACCTTTTGAGTCTTAAGTTTCCATTATTTAAAGACTCAAAACACATATTATCATATTAAAAGTTCAGTCTTTTTGGTAACTTAATTTGTTTTCCTCGTTTTCTAAATTTAACTTTATTTACAACTTTTCCATTTGAACTTTCTTTATCTTGCACTTCTTCTACTTCTTTTTTGTTTGAACTTTCTGAGTTCAAAATTGCTATACTTGATGATACAGACTTTTTAAATTCATATCCAAAAGCGTCTTCATCACATTCACAAATCTTATTATTTTCGGATTCCATCTTGACAGTTACAGGATCCTCTATATTAGGAATGTCTACACTACACTTGTCAGAAATAGGTGTTAACAAAGATGTTATAGTCATTACACTTGATCTACATGTCACTCCTTTTACTTTTCCTTTCCCCATTAACACCCAACCAAGTAAGGTTTCCATTGCAACTAAATCATATGTCAAAACATGACGTTTCCCTGTAAACAACTTTCCACCAATATCAGATCCAATCAAAACTTCAATTGGCCCTTCTACAGTGTCAGAAACATTAAAACCAAAAGACTGTAATTCGTTTATCCAAGGGCCCGCTTTGATTTCTGAAATATTATTACATATCACATCTTGATCTAATACCTCAAAGTTGCAATAGTAATTGTTACCCAAATCACTTAACCTTACTTTATGTCGATTGTGTTCAACAGCATTTGTTACTGATCCACCAAACAATGCATGATTAAGGGTTTCCTTTCCAAATGATACATACCCCATTTCTTCTGCAGTTTTCTTCAAAATGTAGGACCTTTGAGAACCAGAGTCAAAAATGACACGTGCTGCTCGTTCTTTATTACTTCCTCTAATATTCACACGTACAGTTTGTAAAAATACTTCAGAGTGTGCATTATTAGCTAAATTACTTTCACAACGTACTAAAGTGTTATCATTAACATAATTTACATTAGATTTATCTTGAGACTTGTTACACATTACTGTTGCATGTCGACCATTGCAAAGAGAACAGTTTAGTCGAACATGACACTTCTTACTAACATGGCCATACTTTGTGCAACGATAACAACATCTGTTACTTGACAATAGGTTTACCGTTTCTAAATGTGTCAGATTACTACAACTCTTACAATTTTCTGTCAAATGTTTTTCACCACAAAAAATACATTTCATAGGGGGTTTACCAACCTTTTGGTTGACAAGTCCGGCTGCAATTGGTATTGATTCCATTTTGTCTCTTAAGAATGGTTTGGATGACTTACCCAATTGTCTCTTCGAGTCCCCAAAACCTGAGGTAGCAAGTGAAATTCTTTCCTCATTTGTCACTTCAATTCGCAGAAACTTCAAAAGCGCATCGAGTCTATTCTTCAAATCAGCTTCTGGATCAAAGTCGGGATGACGTTGCCACGCCCTTAAAAGATCCTCTGGCAAACACGACTCAACTAATGGGTAAAGAATAGCCGCACATTTATCAGTAGTTACTCCTAATGTGTCAAGAGCTCTGATTTGACATTCTAATTTGTCAAATAAAGTCGAAATCACTACCTTTTGTCTCAAGTTATTGAGTAGCAGCTTTAAAAGTTCTCGAACATAGACTTCTATCAAAAGATCATCCCTTCCAAAACGACTTTTTAAACTCTGAATAGCATCTCTATAATTCTCTGATGTAGCAGGATAGCTATCTACAATTTGTCTCGCTTTAGAATTTGGAATAGTGGCCTGAACTAAATAGTGGAACTTATCAACATCATCAATAGAGGGATCTTCATCTATCCTCTTAAAAATTCCCCAAAAAGGAAGCCATTCTTTAAGATTCCCACTAAATTGTACTAGTTCAATCTTGGGAAGTCTAAGCTTAGTCTTTAGATTTGAACTTCCACTCTTAGCTGAATTACTACTGACCAAATCGTAATCTCTAGAATCATTCAACTTACTTTGTACCAAAACATTTACTTGATTGTAGGTTTCCAAATAACTATAAGCTTTAGACACTTCTTCTTCAAGAATTGCTTCACTTTCCTCAAATTGAAATAAATGGTCAGATATCTTTGTGTCTAAATTCTTTAACTCTTCATAAATCATACTTACAGTTTGAAGCCTACCTTTTAATTCATCTAAGTGAACCGTTTCCTGTGTAAGTTCATCCTTTAAATGGTTCACTAGTCTTGAAAAGTTTGCCCTAACTACAGTTCTATGTTTCTTGTTCTTATTAAATTCCCTAACATCAGTTTCACTCATCATACTGTCCTGTCACGGTCGCCAAATGTTAAAACGCGATACTGATTCTTCTAAAAGGGGTATACTTTTTAAATAATCTCAAGAAAACATAGTACAAAAAGAACTTCAATTTTAATCAGACATAACTATTCAAGACCAACTCTAACAATCAATCAAAAGGAAAACACTAATAATTGCAAAATGTAAACAAATAAAACATCTGATGAAATTAATTAACATATAAATAATCATCTAGAGACAGTCATTTTCAAAAGTCGCTATCATCAGTGCACTGCATGTGATGCTCGCACCGCTTTCACTCGACATTTGTTTATTGCGGTAGAACAGGACAAGTTTGGCAGGTCAATGTCATTGCGGTAAAAACGCATCCTGCTAAATGGGATGGACTAGCGCCGGCCTTAAAACACATCCAGGTCCCAGGTGTCTATATTTTTAACTGCTGTGTCCAGGCAGGCCTCTTCCTGTTTAGGCTGACTTGATGCTATAAAAAAACATAGCTATAAAAACCTAGCTATAACAAAATAAACATAGCTATAAAAAAAACCTAGAAGCAGCACTAGTATGTCTTGTGCTATTCATATTTATACACCTAGTTTTGTGACTAACTTATTGATTTTCTAATGCATTTATAGCCTACCTTTTTATTGGAATTTCAACAGGCCTACTTTATACTAGACATTTTGCCTTCCTGGGCAGTAAAAATGCTACCTTAGTTAAGTTAAACTGCACTTCTTAAATGAGAAGAAGTAGAACCAGCCCTTAAGTAGCCTAATTATTTTCTTTAATGTTATCGTTCCTTTACATTTATTTCAAACCCCCTCAATGATAGCACTAATCTTATTTCATTTCAGGTCACTGCTCAAACTTGCCACAAACCTGCAATGGAAGTCAAGAAGATCAAAAGAAGCCATTCCCTAACTGATGTAAAAGAAGAAATCACAAGCGACGAAGAAGAACTTACACTCCTAGGAAGCATAAAAAGTGGTAGCAAAAAGAATGTCACTTCAAAACGAAAGAAGAGGAACAATGATGACTCTAAAAAGACTGCTAAAAAAATAGCAGTTGATCTTGAAACTGAAAGGGTAAGTTATATTCAAAACTCATGTTTCTAACCCTTGAAATATTGTGTTAAGTGTCCTTGGAGGATAGCGGCCACCTTGGACAATCTGAAACAGTTGCTGGAGGGTTATTTATCATCCAAAAATATATTTTTGTAGCACCAAAGTGATTAAGTTATAGTTTAAATATCTAGTATACTGTGAGATTATAAATGTTTGTAGTTTTGAATTGTAATGAAATCCATAGAAGCTAACGGTCATCTTGGATTTGCCCGGATGTGGGATATTATAGTCTCAGTTTTACCGTGATTAGATCCCGTGACACTCATGACCATATCAATCACTCTTGGCGATACCACAGAAAACGTACTACTATAACCCAGAATGCCAACCGCATGGTAAAAAGCATTAAGCGGTTTGAGAGAGCTTTGCCTGTCAATCCGTAGGCAGCGCCACCAGCGTTGCTATGCTATTGCATGGCAACGCTGGTGGCGCTGCCTACGGTTTGACAGGCAAAGCTCTCTCAAACCACTTAATGCTTTTTACCATGCGGTTGGCATTCTGGGTATAGTAGTACGTTTTCTGTGGCGATACCGTGATTGTCACCATTGATCCTTTATAGCAATAGAGAATTATTTCCAAGAACCGTGAGCAATTTTAGGTGGCTAACAAAAACATCGATAAGAAAATATCCACCCAATATAGACCTACTCATTTCCTTAATAATAGGCCTTTAGTTTTAAATAAATTGAAGACCTATTGGTTTCTGGAGGGAATGGTGTGTTGCTTTATGTGCAACTTATCTATTAGAGTTTTGGTATATTTTATTTCTCTATTATAAGAACAAATCAATATTGTTGCTTATTAATTCTCCTCAGATAAACCATCTGCGCAATGTTCACCGGATCACTGTAGTAGGTGAGAACCCCCCACCTCCTGTGGAGAGCTTCGAACAGCTGCAAGTTGAGCATAGAGTAAGCAAGATAATTGTGAAAAACTTGTTGTCATCAGGCTACGAACTACCAACACCTATACAGATGCAGGCAATCCCTGCAATGGCTCAGGTAAATAAATGTAACACCTAGGTAAGATGAATACATTCTCATAGTTAAGTCGGAACTAGCATGCATCTCTCTATTATTAACTGAGTGTGATCTCAGGTCTTAAGAGTAGGCCTACTCAAAGTTCTTTACCTTTTTCATAGAGCAACACGTTAATACTATAGTCACGGCCGCCCCTGTCCCTGGCTAAGGCCGTGGCCGTGAAAGGTAAAAAATATTTAACCATGATGAAATGAAATGAAATGAAAAATGAAATGAAAATGATTTATTTAGTCAGGCAAAGTTAGGGCCACATGGCCCTCTCTTACACTTAACCTGTAACATGATAATTGGTTAACAAGTTACTATAAGTTAGTAATTAAGTTATAAGTATAAGTATAAGTAAAAAGTACTACTTTTACTAATACTACTACTTTAGTAAAAAAAAACCCTAATTCCCCCTACACCCCTTTACCCCCCTTTAAAGTAAACCCTAAACCCCTTTTTACTTTAGTAAAAAGTGTAATGGTACTACTTTTAGTTTGTACTTAGTACTAAGTTATAAGTATTAAGTTATAAGTATTAGTATAAGTTAGTGTGTTAAGTTAGTATTTCGTAAGTACATTTATTTATAAATATACTTTATCTAATGTTTTTCCTTACAGGGTCGTCAAATACTAGCTTGTGCACCTACAGGCTCAGGCAAAACCATTGCATTTTTGGTACCAATGCTTCATAGTCTGGCTTCACCAAAGAACTCTGGATTCCGAGCTCTGATAGTCTGCCCCACCAGGGAACTTGCTCGGCAAATTTTCAGGTTCGATTCACTAAATTCTGTAAATCACAAAGAATTTGGATTAGGAGTAGATTTTTTAATGGGCTGAAGTTGTTTAGTTTATCAGTATAATTTCTAGTCAGAGGTTAAATTTGAATTTTAAAGAATGATGAACTATTATTTTGCTTTAAAGGTCCATTGTATCCTCTAGATTTTTCACGTTTATTTAAAGATTGTCTTTGTGTTAATAGCGAATATCTGCTCCATCCTAGTGCTGAGTCAGATGAACATTTAAATTTCATCAGTCTAATTTTGTAACACCATCTAGCTGTGTGCTATTGCAAACATATTTTACAAGGATAGCCTAAACTTGCAATGGTTAGGCTCACTAAAGAGAAAGTTTTGACAGTTTCACAGAGAACTAAGATGCAGAGGTAACATTCAATGGTACACTTAAGTTGTGTCCAGCACCAATCGCTTGTGTCTAGATCAAATTCTATTGGTCATTCCCTTCCACTCTCCCCCCCCTACTCACCATATCACATACTACAGCGCTCATGCTGTAGCAAGAGCCTGTGAGCTACAACTGCTGTTGTAACCAATAGCTGGTCTGGGTCTGGCTCTTCCTGGCTCGGTACTAGTATATTTCTGCCCCACCATTATCGAGCTAAAAGCGCACGGTTGATCCATAAGCATGTTTCCTTTGTATATCTTGCTTCTCTATGGCAGCTCAAAGCCATTTTCACACATTGGGGTCTTAAAGTTTGGTTTTCAGGAACTGTCTTTTCAATTATTCAAGCTCGTGTTTGTATTATAGGGAGTGTGCTTGGCTCAGTGAAGGGACTGGTTTGAGAGCTCAACTTATCAAGAAAGCATCATTAGCTCCAGGGAAAATACCTCCTAACTTTGGCAACAAGTTTGGTAAGAGTGTTTTTCCGCTAGATATTTCACTCTTTTTCCGTTACAGATTTTTCTCCAATGGTGTTATAGCATTGTAAAAGTATTGGTAATGGTTTTGAAAGATTAGGTGAATTGGAATTTCTTTACAGAAAACAGAAACACAATTTTCTTTATTAGTAGAGAGAATAGTTGTCTTAAGTTTCCTTACCACTGTACTGATGTTTCTCACAGATTCTAATGGTAATAGTTAAATAAACTGTAATAAATCAAAATTGGATTAAATGGCTCATCATTAATCGTATATCAAAACTGAATAGTTTAGGTTTCTTTGTTTGGGCAGGAATGGGATACATTAAATAATCATTTCATTAAAAGCAAAAATGAAACAAAGTGAAAAATGTAAATTAAGTAAAATATTAAACTACTGTAACTCCTCTAAATAAAGAAAAAAAGTCAAAATAGGTTAAGATGTCTCAATGAACCAAGTGTTATTTTGTTTTAGCCTTCATAAAATCTGAAATGTCATTTTTATAGAATGTGTTATAAATAAATCTGTATTTTTTTAATTTCACAGAATTAACTTTGTTTTAGATATCCTGATTACAACTCCTAACCGGATCATTTATCTTCTTAGGCAGGAACCCCCAGTGTTATCTCTAAAAAGGTATGTTCTATTCAACTTATTTACCATTGTAATATCGAATAAGAATCTACATGATTTATGACTAGTAATATTAATATTCCTTTGATTTTAAGACTCGTGTTCTATGTATGTGTAGTTATTTCTTTACTAACTTATCCGTAAAATTGAGGTGGTATGTATTAGGTTCAGTTCCTCATTTTTAACTCCAGTCTCAAAGGTTAAAAAAATATGCTAATAGCTGATACATCTAACTTGTGTGGTCTACTGTTAGCCATGTCTTGATGTAATGAAACAATAAAGTCTTTGATGGGCAGGCCTGCCAGGAGAAATGAAGGTCGCAGCTGATCGTTAAAAAAAACAGTTGATGTGTAATCACACTTTCAGACCAGGTCTAACTCCCATAAGCAACTGCACTAGCAACCAGGATTGTTTAATGGAACCACAGATAAGTAAGATACAGAGGAAACAAGCTTATAGGACAACCGTGTGTTTTTAGCATTAAAAGAGCCCGAACGGCTTTGGCCACATAGAATTTTTTAATTTTTTTACAGCAGTTGTGTAGCGGACAGGGTCTTCCTATTGCATGAGCACTGTAGTACATGATGGCAAGGGTGGAATGGGCAGTGGAAGAGGGTGCGAAGAATAGAATTTGCTCTATACACAAGCGCTGGTGCTAGACACCACTTTAGTGTACCATTGAATGTATCCTATGTATCTTACTTCTCTGTAATAGAACTTAGTAAACAAATTCCAACAAAAATCTGATGAATTGTTTCAGTGTACAGTGGTTGGTGGTGGATGAGTCAGACAAGCTGTTTGAGGCAGGGCCGCGGGGCTTCAGAGACCAGCTGGCAGAGCTGTACAAGGGTTGTGACTCTCAGGATGTACGGCGAGCCATGTTCAGCGCTACACACACTGTACAGGTGGCCAAGTGGTGCCGCAAACACCTGGACAACCTACTGTGTATCACCATCGGACACAGGTGAGCCTGTAGATAGAGAAGGTGGTTTCATTATTTAATATTTAGTAATCGGTGAACATCTACAACTAATTATCTGACATCTCAAAACCTCTTTCACTTCCTAGGATATTATTTTTCGGCCATAATTTATAGGTCTCCTTGTCTCACTATAATTTCCTCAATAGTTACAATTTCTGTCATGGGTAGAATCCACCCAAGTTTCTCAATTTTCCTTAATAGTTCAGTTCCATGTTTTGTGATTCCAAGGAGATTGTCAGATTTTTCTTTAAAATTACCATTGCATGAAAGCAAAGAAAAATTAACAGAACCCAGAACCTACTAAATTAATTGTGTTAGTGTTTTGAAAACAGAAACTTTTTCCTTAGAGGTTACGTTACGGTTATAGAGATACTTCCTTATTGATGTAGGTATTTGAATAATTTAGTCAGTTCTTACCACACGTATCTTGGAAAATTTTGAATTTTTAAAGCCGTCTGGTGACTTTCTAAAGCCATTTTTAACACCTAAAACCGTGCCCAACTGCCCATAAACAACCATTTCACCTGTTGTTTGTCATGAGCAAATAGACATTAAAAAAATTAAACTATGAGGATTGCATTCGTGAATTTCAAAACGCACTGTAGACTACGGCCATATCCTCCTAAAAGCCGTTGGGTGACTTTCTACAGCCAGTTTTAACGTCAACCCTTTTATTTGTCATGAATTTACAAGTTGAGAAATTTTGGAAGAAATTAAATTTGGAAAATCAAGTGCTATATTTAATATCTTTAACAGCCATAAAATTTTCTATTAATATTATAAGAAATCACCTATATAACAATTATCATAATTAGGTTTAAACAAACTTGCAAAATTTAATGTAATATTATTCTTTGTTCTACAGCAGACTACAATGTGTAGTAAGATTTCAATTTTTAAAATAAATTCGAATTTATACATTTTTAAAACTACCTATGACGATTGCATTCATAAATCTCAAAACAGTCATATCTTAAAAGCTGTTTACTGACTTTCTAAAGCAATTTGTCTATATCTGTGTCCAACTGTCCATAAACCTCCCATTTCACGTGTTATTTGTGTTTGTTATGAGCAAGTAGACATTTAAAAAATCAAACTACAGTATGACGAACTTGCATTCGTGAATTTCAAAACATAGGCCTACTGTAGACTACGAAGCCATATCTCCTAAAAGCCGTTTGTTGACTTTATAAAGCCATTTGTTGACTTTATAAAGCCATTTCTAACGGCTAGAAGTAGAACTGTGCCCCAATTGTTCTAAAACCTTCTATTTTACCTGTTATATGTCATGCAAGCAAGAAGACACGGTTTTTTAACCTTACGTTTTTCTCCATTTAATAGATCTCTTACAATATCTATAGTATCGAATTCAGTAATAGCATTGACTATATAAACTTTAACACTAGTTTTTATATAGTCGATTGTAATAGGCTACTGTTGCTACCGCTGATTGATGCCTGTGTAAAGTTAGTGGCTAGCAGCATTGACTATATAACAGTAGTGTTAATGCTAGCAGACAATTTGACAACAACTAACTATGGAACTGGAACATCAGAAAATCAGCTGTTTCCCCGTCCTCGCTCGCGCGCTCGGCGCTCGCCTTTGGCCTAGCATGTCAACAGCTGACTGCTGTAAAAATTGGATGATGTGTACAACAGGTACAACTTTCCATTGCGTAATATTGTTTTATTTGTTGTGCTGTTGTTCACAAATTGTATCCATGTGGAACTTAATACTACTCCTGCCATCGCTTATTAGGTTTAATAAAAACTACATTGATGTCTGTTTTGTGACATCGCGTGTTTTAAGAACGAAAAGTATGTTTAAATTTATTTTTAGGGGGGGCTTTAGCCCCTGTAGCCCCCCCCCCCCCTTGGAACCGCCACTGCTAATAAGCAAAAGTTCAGCCTTTTTGGTAAAGTTGTAAATACCAATTCAATAACAATAATGCTGTTTGGAAATATGTTGTAGCATTATGTCTATCATGTTTGAGATGGAACTTCATCTTATCTTTATATTTTTATATAGTATTAAAGATGTAATCCTAATATGTTGGTTATTGTTTTAGGAATACAGCAGTTGATCTGGTTAAACAGGAGTTGATATTTGTTGGCAGCGAGCCCGGAAAGCTTATTGAATTCCGCAATCTTATTCAACAGGTATGCCTAAGAGAGTAAGATATTAATCCAACTAACTCCTTAAACCCCTTATGCGATGTGCGGGTAAACCAGACTATACATGGGTAAAGCATCTAAAACTTAAAGGATAACTTTTTCATGTTCTTGTTTATGCCTTTGTTTCTGAGTGGTTAAGTTGTGAAATACGTTATACTGTTGGAAACATGAGGATTTTAAGTAAATTACAGTCTTCATCTAGCTCCTGTGCAGCCATTCAAGTTCAAATCTGAGATCACTATCCTATTCCTTGCTTCATCCCCTACTATTGTAGCTGGTTTCCACTCCTACGGGACAATAGTTTTGTCATTATATTAAAAAACGTAATGAAATAATATCGACGCTTCTGCTAAGTATGAATCACGTTCTGTCATCTATCATCTCTGATTTCTGAATGAATGGTGTCAATCCCAGTTGACATGCAGAAAAGTGTTTCTATGTAGAAAATATGCACAAGTTAGTGGCATTACTAAGCTTACAGAAAGCCACACTGTTTTTCACAAAATAGGCTGTGGGTGTTCACCAGTTACCATCGATACAATGATCAAATTTGAGGAAACTCTACCTGCTGATCGGCTGGTTTCAGAATTCCAGGGTTGACGACAGTCCTTAAGTATTAGTCGTCCCCTATTATTTGAACAATCTCTCTTGGTCAGTCACACCACAAGTGAAATTCCATTAACTTTTATTACTGCTTCAAACAAAAACCATCCTCACCTTGCAAACATTACCTACGTCCAAACACATTACTTCATTTACATCAGATAACTTACGATGGACTTCAATAGTAATTGACAATTAAGACCATATAAATCTAGTCTCAGTACACTAGTTTGCTAACTATTTTTTTTACTAAACTAATCGTTCTACAGCAGTGGGGATGTAATAAACCTTTAGAGAATAAAACTTAGGTTTTATTAAGCAAAACTGAATACAAGAATTAAACAGAATAAATAAACAAATCTGACTAAAACATTAAGAATGTCAGCTGACATTTTATACAGTACTTGGAATATCACCACATTCTTCCGCTCTAGTAAATTTTATACACATCGAATTTCTTAGGTAACACCTTTGGTCTGGTTGACCGACGTGGTGGATGAGGTTGATTGCAAGGAGCGCTGCTGGTTTGATGTTCATCATTTTCAGGAACACCATCTGACGTTGCTGGTGGTAAACATAAATCTGTATAGTTTTGAAGGATCGGTTGTGACGAAGTAGTGTTCTGTTCCAGAAGGAGCGATTTTGACGAGGTAGTGTTCTGTTCCAACTGTTCATCACCGTCTTCGTTTTCATAAGTAAGATTTGTTGGATTTTGCATTACATTTCCTCTTGGTGCTAAATATCTTAAGGACACAATTGATTCTCTTCCTTCTTTATTGCGGACTAAAGAATATTTTGGGTTTGTCTCAATTACTTCAACCTCTTCGACCAGTGGGTCAAACTTACTGCCTCTTATGTGCTTCTTCATAAGAACTTTTCCTGGAATAGTCAGCCAAGTAGGGATAGTTTCTCCATTGCTAGATCTTCTTTGATGTTTAAACATTCTTTCGTGCGGTGTACAATTCGTAGCTGTGCATAAGAGGGATCTGATGCAATGAAGGGCTTCATCTAAAACACTTTCCCACTGAGTTATTTTCATCCCTCTCGATTTCAATGCTAGCTGAACAGTATTCCATATTACTCCGTTGAATCGTTCAACTTGCCCATTTCCACGTGGGTTATATGGACTTGCACGACTTGTAGCTATTCCCAAATTATGTAAAAATGATTTTAGTTCTACCGACATAAAACCGCTACCCTGGTCTGTGTGTATATATGATGGTGTACCAAAAATACTGAAGACTTTGTGAAGTTGTTTGATAATAGTTCTTGAGCTCATATCAGGACAGGGGAGTGCAAAAGGATAACGTGAATATTCGTCAACTATAGTTAGAATATAGGTGTTATTTGTTACTGAAGGGATTGGCCCTTTAAAATCCATATTAAGCCTCTCAAATGGGGCCATAGCTTTGATGAGATGTCCACTAGAAGTTTTCAGGAATTTTGGTTTGATCTCTGCACATAGTGGACAGCCTGCAGTCATTTTTCGCACATCTTCGACTGAGTAAGGAAGATTGTGGGTTCGGACCCAGTGCACCATTCGAGTAACGCCTGGATGACATAGTGACTTATGTAAGTCAATTAAACTTTGATTTGGCATCGAACTGCAGAGTCGAGTGAAGGCATCAGCGACTGTATTTTGAATACCAGGCCTGTAGACAGTGTCAAAACTAAAACAAGACAGTTCTAGCCTCCATCGTTGAAGTTTCTCATTCTTTATTTTGCTACTGTGTTTTTGATCAAAAATAAATGACACCGACCTTTGATCTGTCACAATCTTGAAATGCCGTCCAACTAAGAAATGTCTCCATTTCCTGACTGCCTCGACAATAGCTGCTGCTTCCTTTTCTATTATCGAGTGTCTCTTTTCACTGTCTGATAACGATCGTGAAAAAAAAGCAACTGGACGACCCATTTGACTAAGAGTCGCTGCAAGTGCATTCTGTGATGCATCAGTTTCTACTACGAATGGGATAGATTCATCAATAGTATTAATAGCAGACTGAGCTATCTCTTGTTTCAGTTTTTCATAGTCAGAAACAACTTCTGGAGGAATTGGGAATGTTTTGCATTTAACTAATCTGTGTACTTTTTCAGAAAATTGAGGGATCCATCTTGAATAGTGAGCTAGCATTCCAACTGCACGCCTTAATAAATCAAAATTACTAGGAACAGGTAAGTTCAGAAGGGGTTCAAGTCTTTCAGGATCCGGTTTAATAGTGTTATTTTCAATTAGGTATCCCAGAAGTCTGATTGATCTTTGGGAGTATGAACATTTGTCTTGATTCAGAGTCAGCCCGTACTTGTTGGCTGCTGCCAAGAAATTTGCAAGATTTCTATCATGATCTTCTTGATCTTTACCACAAACCGTCAAATCATCTAGATAAGCAAAAACCCCTTCTAACTTTTCTTTACTGATTATACCATTAATTACACGCTGGAAACAAGCAACTCCATTGGTAACTCCAAAAGGTATTCTGTTGAAATGATATAGTTTTCCACCTGCTTCGAAGCCAGTGTATTTTTTCTCATTTTCACAAATAGGGATTTGATGGTAAGCGCTTCGGAGGTCAACTGTACTAAATACCTCATACTTAGAAATTTTTGAAACAAGATCTTCAATATTTGGTAAAGGATAAGCATCAAGGTTAGTGAAACGGTTAATAGTTTGAGAGTAATCAATGACTAACCGTCTTTTGTGATTCTCATTTTTGGTAACCAGGACTTGAGCCCTCCAAGGAGAATTGCTCTCTTCAATTATTCCTTCAGACAACAATTTACCTATTTCATTTTCTATAAATCTTGTTTCATCAAGGGAGAACCTTCGAGATTTTATTTTTATTGGGTGACAATCTGGTGAAAGATTAGCAAATAGTTCAGGAGGTTCAACAATAGCTGTAGGCAAACTGCAAGGGCCCAAAGTTAGTGCTGGCTTAGAACCGCCAAATGATATGCATAGATTTGTATACTTAGAGAGAATATCATGCCCAATTATCATGTCTGCACAGAGATTAGGCAAAACTGAAACCTTAGTTTTTATATGTTGATGCCCTAAAAGCTCAATATCAACGAAGCAGTGCCCACAGATACGGGATTGTAAGTCTACAGATGCCATAGAAATCTGGCCTCCTCCAGGAACAACTAAAAACTTTGTTTTGTCAACGAATGTTTTATTTATGAATGTTTCAGAGCTACCAGTATCTATTAGAGCATCAGCGACAACATTGTTAATCTTAACTGTAACTACAGACTTTGATAAACATCGAGGAGCGGCAGCCAGCAGTCCCGACTCATGACTTTTCTCCATGGCTGAAAGATTAGAAGATTTACCTGATTTTTTACGACGACAAACAATTGAGAAATGACCTTTTATCCCACAGTTTCGACAATCAGCATCCCTGGCTGGACAGACATTTCGAGGATGTTTGGCTTTCCCACAGAAGAAGCATTTTATTGTCCCTGAGGCAGCCAGTGATGATTCCTTATAACATTCTTCTTGGTTCATCTCTTGATTTAAAGTACTGTTCAAGAATTGATTTTGATGAGTTTGTTGGTAGATTTCTGAGTGTTTCTGAGCTGATTCTAGAGCTCTTGCTTGAGCAACGGCATCCTCTAATTTCAGAGTATTGTTCTCTAGTAGTCTTTGACGTATTTGAGGAGATAATAGCCCAGTGATGAATGAGTCTCTAATGTAATCGTTTTTACTTTCTTCTGCATTAACATTACGAAAATTACAATCTTTACTCAAAAGTTTCAGTTTTTGTAAGAATTGATCTACAGACTCCCCAGGTTGTTGCTTGGAAATAGCTAATATATGCCTTGAATAAACTTCATTTTGAGGTTTCACATAGAGGGTCTGTAAAACCTTCACAGCATCTTCATAGGTCTTTGCTTCTGAAATAAATTCATATACGTTGTGACTAATGTAATTTATGAGTAGTTTTAACTTTTCTTCGTCACTTACTTTATCAACAGAGGATACAAAATTTTCAAAAGTCCTCAACCAATGTTTGAATTCAAATGCTGCTTTGGTTGTATCAGGTAGACATTCAAATCTTTCTGGTCTTAACAGTTTATCCATTTCTTTCTCTAGTATTAAGTGATTGAATAGAATGGTTTATAGGAAGCCTATAGATACTGATTCTCAGACTAATTATGATAATATTTGCTTAATAAATTGTAATAAACCTTTAGAGAATAAAACTTAGGTTTTATTAAGCAAAACTGAATACAAGAATTAAACAGAATAAATAAACAAATCTGACTAAAACATTAAGAATGTCAGCTGACATTTTATACAGTACTTGGAATATCACCACAGGGGACTGGCTAGAATAGTAGTAGATGAAATAAAGAACATGATATTGGTATTAGATTTTAACTCTCTTGCTTGTGCTTGACAAGAGATCTTAACTAATGCACAGAGCTTGTATTATAGATGAGAGCTCCGAAAACACCACATAGTTTAAAATAACAATAACATAGAGTGAAAGTTGTTCCTAGGTTTTGCTACACCTTCACACTAAAATTGTGTCTCAAATTCCAGGGCCTACCTCCACCAGTGTTGGTGTTTGTTCAGTCTAAGGAACGAGCTCAAGAGTTGTTCAGTGAACTGATCTATGATGGGATAAATGTGGATGTGATTCATGCTGACCGGACACAGCAGCAGGTAAGAATCAATATTCAAAGTAAGGACAACGCTACATACAGTCGTCGCGATATATCTTTGAGCTTTGGCCTACACCATTAATAGGAGGAGTCTGCATCACAGCACTGCGAAGACAAGTAAAGTAGATTTAAAATAAAAACTTACATTCAACTTCAATCAGTCACATTCCAGGCCTTTGATTCCTGAGGGATTAGGTTCGTCAGGGTTATCAAAGTTGGATGCATCCTCGTTGTGGTCACTATCAGGTCCACCCAATTCAATAATAATTGGGTCAATTCGTTCATCCATAATGTGATCGGATTCCCAGTAATCGGCCTCAGTTTTCAATACATGACAACAAAGTGTCAACCAGTCATTTTCTGTCATTGAATCAAATTTTTCTTCACATAGCTTTTTTACGTCGGCGATTTTGTAAGTTGTGTTCCGACTGGCAACCCAACCCTTCACAATTGCCCAAATGTTCTCAATCGGGTTGAGGTCTGGGTGGTAGGGTGGTAGTCTCAAATGATTATGCTTAGATGATATTTTGTCCAGCAAATTTTGTATCTCCTGCTTAGTAGATTCACTATCAATAGCAGTGTTATGGTAGGGGGCGTTGTCAACAACTACCACACTGTTCGCAGGTAGATTAGGGAATGGTAAGCATAGATGTTAAAACAGCAACTATTCGTTCAACCAAAGGAGGCATACAGCAGGCGGCTGACAGCGAGTTGGCGCCTAGCAGATATTTTCAGGCCTGTGTAGTACAAGGTAGCGCATGCGCCTAACAACCTCCCGACCCCGAGTCAGTGGCTGCTGCTCAAATTACAACCGTTGTTGCAGCTCAAGTAAGATATACCGCGACGACTGTACCAGCCTATGACAATACACTACATAATGTAAAAAAATATAATTCCCACATACAAATTGAACAATTATTAATAAATTATCTCTAAAATATATTTAGTTATTGTAGTTTTAATTTAATAAAACCATAGTCAATGCTAAAACAAACGGGACAACCTAACCAAACCCAAATGATGGTGAGATCATAATTTGTGATTCTCGTTCAGATTACATGTAACAAAATGTATGATTACAGAGAGACAACACTGTCCGCGCATTCAGGGAGGGTAAAGTCTGGGTGTTAATTTGTACGGAGCTAATGGGACGAGGTATTGACTTCAAAGGGGTCAACTTGGTCATCAACTATGACTTTCCTACATCTGCCATCTCCTACATTCACAGGATCGGTAAGATTGTACTACCTCCTTTGTCTGCTATTGCCTACATTCATAGGATAAGTGAGACTTTACTACATCACACATTTGCTATTCACTCCATTCACATTGACATCAGTTATGGCTTGAGGGATACAACTTAGTAGACCTGACTGTTTACTTTCAGTGTTTTGGTTTTTTTCTGAGAAGTGTGGTTCTAGAACTCTTTTTAAAATGCTTACTTGAAAATCTCTTTCAAAACAAAACAATAAAATTCAATTTATTGGTTGTGTTGCTAGCCTAGTGGTTAGCGTCTCGGACTTCGGTGCGAGAGGGACAGGTTCAATCCCCGGCACATCCACTAAAAATTTATCCATAGTAACTCTCACGTGAAATGCCACTGGCGTTGAAAGAAAAAAAACAAACAGACAAAAAAACAAACAAAACAAAATGAATTGTTTACAGTTTTAGCTATCACATTAATGCCTTCCAAATTCAAGCTTCCTATTTAAAACTGTTGGTTTGTGGAATATTTTAAGGAAAATGGAAATGTTTGATATCTGTAATTAATGAGGGTGTGCCATGCATCAAAATTTCGATTTGATTCAGTGGGTCAAAAAACAATTCGATTCATGAGGAAGTCAGTATCCATATACAAAAAACGCCTGCTGAAAGTCAACGCAATACCCGCAATACAGGAATGTGTTGTTGTTGTGTTTCCTTTGCGAAGGCGTTCTTATTTAATTAACTCTTTGCTTGTAAATATTGCTTTAATTTTTTTATAATTTTTTGTTTTAACAATGCAAATGATGAGAAGTTTTGTTAAGTGTAAGCAGTGTGAGACATGTTTTACCACTGTAATAGTCAAAATAAGTCACTCCAAAATCATTCTAAAAATAACACAGGTCTGAAAAAATGTTACTTGATATTTAACTAATAATAAATAAAATTGATGGTTAAGACTGATAAATTTGGTATTTTTGTAGGTCTGCTATGTATTCCTTGTAGTTTGTAGGTCTGATTCTATCGTTTCATTTTATCAGTGTGAACCAATTGAAAGTTTCATTATAAATCTTAATCTTAAAAATGTTTTTATTTGTTTAAACCAAAACATATCTTTATTTTAAAATCAATATTATAAAATAGGTAACATGCTTAACAATATGATTCTGCATGTAAAAATTATGAAATAGGCAAGTAAAGCAGCTCACTGACATTTCCTCCAGCGATACAGGTTCTTCATGATTGAAAATAAATATTTTTTCACCTAAAATTCATATATTTCATATCATAGACAAATAGACATAAATATAGACTGTCAAAGGAAGGTTCCAGCGCCCACCACTAGGATGTGCCGTGTAGTTGCGGCGCACACTGCTGCAGGCGAAGAGTGCAGGAGCCGTATGTAACCAGCATATAAATGCAGCGTTGTGCGTCGTAACTACATGGAAAACCTAGAGATGGACGCCAGAACTTAAAATGCTAACGCAGCACATTATATTTGTCTATGGTCATATGTATGAATAAACCTAATACTACATCAACAGAAATTTGCATTACACAAATGTGGTAAATTTGAATTAGCCTATTGTTGCTTCACTCCATTGACATGTATGAATAAAAAAATTTCGTATTGCTTCGAAACTAGTTGCATCGATTCGAATGGAAAATCTAGAATCAAATCATTGCTTCAAATCTAAAATTGTTTGCTGCTTTGCAAACCCTACTAGTTACTGCTGGGGTGCAGCTGAATTGCAGGAGCTATTACGCTATCCTTGAGAAATTACTAGGTTCTATCAATGGCAAAGCATATTTCATAAGAACAGCCATAACAACTGTAGAACCATCCTGAATCACCTATCTTTCATGAATGGTGATACAAAGCACTATTTATTCAAAAAATCACAAAGAATGTATGTTGCATTATTTCTAGGGATACCTTTGTCTTAATACTTAAAAATTGGAATTGGGTTAGGTCTGTTTAGCTTGACCCAATTGATTTCCTATTCATTTTTAAGGTTTAACATGTTAAGGTTAAAGCCATGCAAAATTTATGTGGATCATTCCTTCAAGTTTAGTGAACTAAATTAACTAATCTGTTAATCTTTCCACTTCATCTTCATACATTTGTAACCAAACTTTGTTTTTTTTTTTTACTAAAACTATTCTCCTCCTTCATCAATGTCTACGATATTTTTAACATAATAACCTAAGGAGACTAACAATTCTAATTTATGCAGGTAGAACGGGACGAGCAGGCAGGCCGGGCAGAGCTGTTACATTCTTCACTGAAGCAGATCGTCCCATATTGAGGAGGTATGTTGATTGAACAGTTTACAGAACTAACTATTTAATATCATACTTGATCTGGTCAGCACTAGGTTCAGAGTGGGTTTGGATTTCTGACACACAAAAATTGAATGATAACTAGTTAACATACGCTGGTTATACGGGGGTTGTACTTGTAATTAAGGCCTGAAACAAGCTTCTTGTCACAGCCAACCAAGATAGTTTTCTATGCTGTTACGTAAAATGGTCTTTGATTTTAAGCTTAGTCATACCTCTTTTTCTTTTCTAGAGGATGTATCTGAACTTCTGCTTAATGCTTTGCTCACAATACCTGCATCAGTATGAAGTCCTTAAGTCTTCTATCACGTTCAACACTCAATATCTATTCACATTGTCACATATGTTTTTGCGAAAAATAATGCCTTGTATTCTACGTAGTATAGTGGATCCTTGTTAACAATTAAAGCCCCTCGATCACAAGTCACACTTGGTAAAAAGTGTCCTTTTCAATACCGTATTCAATTTTCAAATATCTTTTTTTATTATCAATTATCAATATTAATTGAGACTGGGACACTACCTAGGTGTATATTTTAATCCAAATACGAGTAGACCTAAATTATGAGTGTAGAATGGATAGAGATTATGTGTGTTTTGTTACTGACTAAGATTAGCTGTTTCATTAGCAAGGATCATTTATTTAAAGGTCAATGATCAGGGATCGTTGGGTCTAGTTTCAAACCATCAAAAAGCTACGAATTTTTTTCAAGATCGATCCAATAACCTTTTTATTATAAGGTGAGCACTATAACCACTCAGTTACCCAGCCATTATAATTATATACTAGGTCTAATGGCATATTATTTAAACATCGATGAGAAGTTTGCCTTGATAACAAACCTCATTTGATAATCCCCATAAAAGACTTAAGTTATCAAGGTTCTACTACAGATGATTTCTTATTACGTTTTACTCAGTTTTTTCTCTGTCCAACAGCATTGCCACAGTGATGAAGGACTCGGGTTGTGAGGTACCGGAGTACATGTTGGCCTTGAAGAAGGTCAGCAAGAGAGCGAAACGGAAGCTAGAGCAGAGAGCTCCTGAGAGAAAACCAATCAGTACGATGCCCTCCTACGTCAAGTACAGAGCCAACAGACTCAAGTAGGTTTCATACAGATATCACAATCATAGTTGTTTTGCTTCACAACAGGGTTAAGACAAAGAAGGAATAATAGTGTCCTGTCCTCTGATTCTCTTTGGAACAGATACACATTTACAAAATTTATTGGAAAGAAACAAAACCCAACTGTACTACTTATTCGTACAAAATTTTCTTTGGTTGAATTGAATCAGCTGTGTGGTAAAGTGAAATTGGTAACTTTATTGAAACGTAACTAAAGTAAGAAGAATGTTCAAATTTTAACCCTGTGATTTTCTTTTTATTACCAATCAATCAACTTGCCTTCAAACAATAAGTATTTAGCTTTCAATTTTGCTAAAAAAATATTAAGGTGTAAGAAATCGAACATTAAATGTGTATTTGTCAGACACTGTGTGATAAATACACACTACTAGAAAATAACATTTTGTCTGATTTTATAAGGGATTGGGAGACTTTGGTTTATCTACATAGCCTACTACTGGCCAATAAGCGGAGCGAGCTGATCTAGTGGATAGAGCGCGGGACTTCGGTGCCCGAGGTCCCGGGTTCAAATCCCGCCAAATCACCAATGGATTTTATCTAAGTGATAATACCGCAACCCCTAGTCTAGCCTGAAGTAATGTGAAAAACAATCCTAGGCTTGTGCCTAGTGTTTTAGTGGGTGGGGGGGGGGGTTGAGAAACTGGCCAATAAGCAATGATACCAAATTTCTATAAACTAAACAAATAGTAAAAATGGACAAATACAATTACATCCTCTACAAATCTTTACATGAATCTTTAATAATGCTGATGCCAATACAGAGTTTCACAAAATATTACCCGTTAGTATCCTAAAATATTCAAGAGTAGGCATAGTACAAGGTTTTTCCAAGCGCACAGCAAATTTTCAAGTGTATAGATTATTTGTTTTCATAAATCTATCATTATTCAAGTATTTGTTGACTTGTAATTTTCACTACCTACTGTTAATAATGTGTACATTTTCCTTGTTCTAGGAGTAAAATCGAAAGCACCAAGAAAAAGAAATCAAAGAAAACCAATGGACCACCGACTAAACATACCACTGTTGAGAGGTAATGAATGTATTTTTAATCTGTAAATAAAAGCATTTTATTACTCATAAATGGCCATTTTAACTATTCCTGTCTAATAACCGTAAACATCTATTGTGATGTGTTCAGGAGGTGAACTTTGTAATTTGCAGGAAGTTCACAACATGACAAAAGCCATTGATAATCGTGATCAATTCTGCTTGGCAAGTTTCCCAATTACAATAATGTATAGGTTGAATAACAGCTCAACAGTTTCTAGGGTTAAACCAACTTGCACATTAACTCTGCCTGAACAGGCATTGGTTGCTAAGTTTTGTGGTAAATTAGTACTTGTACTGTTAGTTTTTGTTACTGTAAGATCAACAGTTTACTTTCTACGTTCAGTTTGATTTGTTTGATGTATTTACCACACAAAGCCTCTCATTCAAATAAATTCATATTCCTAAGAATGGAATGAAACTGTCAATAAGTTGTTAATATAACTGTTATAGCATGGAAGTGCATAATAGTTTAATAGACTAAACTGTCTCAGTATAATGTTCATTAAATATGACTCAAAACAATTTATAATGGAAGTATTGTAAGTAAAATTAACTTTAAAAAATCCATGAACAGACTTTGTTAAGGAAATTCTGATATACATTAGTCAAGTATACAAACTTAACAGAGTTATAAGATTAATACATAATATAGTTGTTCAGAAGCAATACATTCCCAAACAAAGGAAAATATTTGTTTTCCTTTATATTTTTTATATTTAAAAATTTGTTTATATGTTTTTTTTATTTTTTCACATAGTGGCGTCCCCATCTTAAATAATTGATATAATTGATTGAAAACAAATTCTCATCTCCTGAAACAGTACTTGGCAGGAGATATCTTCTAATGTTGGGAATGTTTGAGAATCTATGTCTATCGATGAGATCTACTAAAGTGTTCATCTACTGAATATCCAATCCTTTTAATTTACTAGATCGATTAGAGGACAACATATTTCCTTCTCAGTAATTTTGATTTCTTAAGAAACCCTTCGCTTTTTTTAACAAGGCTCTAAAGATTTCCTTGACTTTCTTCTATAGTGGAAGAATATTTTCACAAATTATACCAAAACCTTAGGAAAGGTGGGGTTTTTAAACCCTTTACCTAAATTAAATCGACAACTCCTTTTTGCTAACTTGGTAAAAAATTAAAATGTTTCCAACCATTATACTATACTAGATGCATAATTATTTGAGATATGCCATACATTGTTGTAAAGATAATTTTCAAAATTTTGTGTTACAATTTTTAATATAGACTAGGACAATAACATCGAATCTGAAAAAGTACTTGTTTAAGGTACCGTACCTTCCTTTGTGAAATGTAATAATCTCCTCTTTGGATTTTTTTTTTCTAAATTTGAAACCTATCATAAAACTAACTATTATAATGTTACTGCTAACGGAATTTTAATTGGATCAAGGTTGGGTTTCCACTGAAAAAACAAGCAATAAACTTAAGTTGATTCCATTAATTTATACAATTTGACAAACAAAACAGACTGGGACTTTTAGCACATGTACCGTACAGTGGATCTTGATATGTTTATTTTAATTAATAAAAAAGAAATAATAAAATCGAAAACTTGCTTTTTTCTCCCTACTATCATCATGTCAGTGTTAATGATTTTAAATACCTTAATTCTGTTAAGCGACAAATTATAAAATAACTATTCCTCAATCAATTGCTACAACCATTTACAATAAAAGCCCAATACAAACCATTCTTTGTGAAACACAATACTCTTGTAAAATAATACCATTAATCACCAGACCAACTCTCCCATGGATTGTTTTTGGCCAAGTGAACTGAACGCAAACAAACAGCAAGTTTGGGGAGTTTTGGTGGAATGGAATGACCATTAGCAAACATTTGATGAACAGCCATGAGTCGACAACTTGGCACATTACGCAACTTTGGTCGTTACTCACCTTTGTTCATTTACCAATCCTTCCAACCATAATGATGGGTGTTGAGATTTGGTTAGGAATGGTTAGGTGAATCTGGTCTTTTCAAGAACATAACTGCCACTCATGCACTGCGCCGCTTAGGTCAAGTTTTCATAGTTTGTGATAGTGAAAACAAAATGGAAGATTTAAAAAATAGTTGTAATGAGTGCTATTTGTTGAAGAGAAAAATTAACATGAGTCAACGTGTATTTGTGCCTTTTTTGTGTGACCAGAAAATGTTAAATACTGTGAATATTTCTTGTTTGTCTTAAACTAATCTATAGTGGAATAGATTACAGAATAGGACCGAAGGCAAGCGGTATCCAATAAGCTTTCAGAAAACTCTCCACTGTTGCCAAGTTGTGCCCCGCACTCAGTCTTTGCCCAACAGCCGACCTGTGCGTTTCGAGCATATCCTCTTGTTTGGTCAAGAAATTACCTTAAAGTGTGTTAATAATTCGAAACAGGCCAGTGACAAAGCTACAAAAGGTATCTTACTCTATTCTACACTCATATTTAGGTTAAAAGACGCTCATAGGTGGCATCCCCATCTCAAATGAATAATTAATTAATATGGTAGATTGTATCCTCTTCATTTCCATGTTAATTTTGTTTCATGTATCAAACAATAAGCTGAGCAATATTTTAGAAGATTTTTAGAACTGCTATACAAATTGTTTGGTCATATAAATTTATTGTTAAATTTGTTAATTTTATGTTTATATATTTTTCAAAAACTGCATTTGGTAGCTGTTGAGGTCTGTTTTGACATTTGTTGTAAAATGTCTGAGGCATTTTAAAGACAATTGTGTAGCAAATAATCAAACCATAATAATGTATGGGATGAATTTTGTGTTCCATACAATATAAAAATATAACAATACTAACCAATACCACCAAGAACAAATCAATTATTAATTTGTTGTGTTGAACTGAACTACCCTACAAGTGGGACGATAGAGGGGGTTGCTGGGCTCTAGGTGAAAGTCAGCTCACCTGCCAAGAACGAAGTGGCAACGTCGCCTACCTCTTCAAAGGCCAGTCCTGTTCTGGAATCTATTCCACTATAACTGCCTCACTGTGCACTGTTACAGAGTAACGGCCCTCTTGTTGAAAACACCTGATATTTTCTTTGTTTATTGGAAATAGATTAATATATTTATTTTATAATTTTCTAAAATATGTAAAAATAAAAAAATTAGCATTAAAATAAAATATTTGGGTAAAAAATGTGTTTTCCTACAGTCAACCGACAAAGTTGGCTTCCTTGTACTGTTTATAGTACAGATAGCTGCTAATTGCTGCATATTTATACTTTGTTGTACGGTTTATACTTTGGCGCACATCGGGATTCCAACGAAACAACACAAAACAGCGTGGTTCTGTTATGCATGTAATCCGTGTACGATTGGAAATAGGCTGGCAACACTTTTAGATAATAATACTATGAGCAGCTGATTGACTATTATAACTACAATTTAACCTGTCATTTCATGTTTATAGTTTGTGTTCTCTTTTCGGTATTTCTGAACTTTTCTTTTAAACGTTTTTAAAACATTCCTACGATCTTAATAAACAAGAAAATACCTTTAAAGCATTTTTTAGGTGCGGAAACCACTGCAAATTACAAAAATATACAGAACTATTTTCTCAAGTCGCGGAACACTTTGCTTGCCGAGGAAAAAATAGCGGAATGATACGGACCGGGGACTACTTTCTCTAGGGCACCTATTTGTGTTGCCAGGTGAACCTAAAAACGTGTTCTATAGTATTTGAAAGACTAATAATTTATATGCTTTACAGTGACTGTAGGAAAAAATATAATGTGTAACACGAGTGCAAAAGGCCTTTGCTGCACTCGAGATCATTCCGCATGCAGCAAAGTGCCACTTTGCTCACTAGTTACACAAATAACTATTTCATCAAACACTAATATTTTAACTTTGTTTAATTAGTGACCAACTTTGCAACAAAAATGTAATAATCCACGCCCCACCCCTCCCAGGTATAACATACCCCGGCAGTAAGTAAAATCTATCTATCCGTTTACAAATTCAACCATAGTGATGGGGGCTGAGCTTTAGTCAGAGAAGGTTACCAAAACATGGTTATGAGGATTGAGGTTTAGTTACATAAGTTTTACCTGTCTTTCTGTCAAATACCCATCCCTCTAATTATGGGATTGAGGTTTGCTCAGTAAACATCAATCATTCTGTTCTGAGTCTTGTCTGTGTTTCTACTTTAATCTCTTCAACTGAAATAATGAAAATCCAGCTTTGATCAAGAAGAGTCTGAACTTAATTGTCACCCTGAAATTTTGTATGTTGATCTAAAACCCTTTAGGGAGCAGGTTTTTCTCACAGATCACTAATAGTGCTATGTAACCTCCATTAACTAAATTTCTAACAAAGGAAAAGACGCCCGCTTAATCGATAAGTTTAATATTTGCCCATAGTAAGTGGGCCTCAATCATCTATCTATCTATATACAGTATATAAAATCCAATGTATGTTTGTTTGTTTGTCCTTTATGGACTCCGAAACCACTCAACAGATTGTAATGAAACTTTAAGCATTATTAACCATTATTCAAGGATGGTGTGTGTGAAGTTTGGTGCATATCCGTCAAAAGGGCTCCGCCCCAGTGGCTCTGGAGTTTCCCATGTTAACCTTATTTATTACTCATATTTAAATGGAATTAAAGAATCTTAACATCTGGTTCTACAGAACAATTTGATTCTATGATGTTCAATAGCAAGCATTAAAAAGTTATTTGGTGTGCCAACAGGGTGCAGCACTATTATTTTTTTTAAATTTATGACAACAGCTAATTTGCAACCAAAAAATGAGTGAGCATAGCGAACGAACTTCAACCAGGACGTGATTGAGCCATGAGAACGAGCTCATCTTGAAAATGAACAAGCATCTGACACAAAACCACATTAGTACAGGATGTCTGTCGGGCCAGCTAGTGAGCTAGTGAGTATAATTATAACTACCAGCAGAAACATAAAGTAAAACTTGATATTTGATAACCATCGTTTCATTCAAAAAAGTTCGTTTCATG